GTGATCCACAGTGTCAAACGCTTAAGTGAAGTCCAATAAAACCAGTACAGTGTCGTTTCCTGAGTCAGCTGCCATCAACAAGTCACTTGAAACCTTTAATAAAGCTGTTTCTGTAGAGYGCAATTTGCGAAATCCAGACTGAAAAATGTCCATAATGTCATTTTCCTCCAAACAGCAAAGCCTGAGCTCCTGTAGCTGTAAACTCCCTCTGAAAACCAGAGGAATGGAAAACGTCGAGCCAGTCTCTAACGAGGCGAGACACGTTGCTGTCTGGAAGAATTTAATTGGGCCGCCGGCTCCTCCGGGGAATTAATCAGCTCGTTGGCTCGAGGTGCCCAGAGGGCGACAGGGACCCGCTTACTAATCAAACCTCGTGTTTCGTAATGACGCTCGCAACAATTCATTTAGGAGCAAAATGTGAAAATGAGCTGTTAAATACAGAGAATTAAAGTTGATCAGATGGATAGAATGAGAAAGTTTTCGTAGATGTTTGGAAATAGGTTTTTCCCTCTGTGTTTTTAAATATCTCATGAACCAGTCACTGGATTTTAATGAAACTACATCCTGTTCAATATGGCCGCCTTACAAATTCAAAAGTGTCTACAAGTCATCAGATTTTATAGATCCTGAACTAAAGTTTGAGGTGGTAGAAGTGGAGGATGATCCAGAACACAGACCCTGATCAYACTAGATCTGTTAATTACTTACTTGAGTCAGCCGTGTCTGTCTGTTAGCAAAATAACTGACAAACCAGTGGACCCATCACTACTAACCGAGGGTTAAACCATGAAGTGGAGAATCAGGCAGCTTTTGAAAACAACTGCATTTTGTCAAAATAAATTAAAAAATATATTATTTATGGATTGTTTAAATGAAATATCAGAATTAAAATCTTAAAGAATTATTTAAAGCTTTTATTTTTAAACAAAAAACTTGATTTTGAGCCAAAAAAAGCCTTAATTATTGTTGAATAACCTGTGACCTAGCAAAGCTTTTTTTGTTTCCAGGTGATTAATCCTAATCTTTGAGGTTTATTCTTTAAAACGACATAAAAACTCCTCCTTAGAATAAAAAATAGGATTGAAATTGATGGTTTATCCTGATTTGAAATACAAATTAAGGCAAATCTCTGGAGCAGCTCATTAGGAAGATCAGATGTATGAAAACGTAGAGCAGTGTACTTTTTAC